GGACGCTATTTCGGCATTACGGATAGTCAATGGTGGAGCAAACTATCAGCCTTTGGAGGAAATAGAGCTGGAAGATCTAGTTAACCGCGTACAGGAGGAAGCACCTACAACTACGCTTAATGAAGAGGAGTCACCTCAACCCTCTACATCTGGGCAAGTGGAAGAAGAACCAGTGGAACAGACCGTACGAAAAAGAGCTAAAGTGGGAGAACTTACAACCATCTACCTCCGAATATGTTCATCCCTCAAAAATACCAAAACATCTACCAACAGCTGTGAAAGCTCGTTTACGCAGGTTGGAATACGAGGTGACCATGACCAGACGTAACTACGAGACTATGAAAAAACACATTTTCACAGAATATGAGCAGAAATTCAACATTCATCGCAGTAGCATGAATAACGATCCCGTCAAATATACTGAGGATCTTCTACACAGGAGGCATTGGACGCCTGAGGAAATAGAGGCATTTGATAAATTCAATTATAATTGGCCTATCAGACAACGAGACTGGTGGAATATGAAAGGCGATATGGAACTTATGGTTGAACTGTAGAGGAAATACGAACATTCATTAGATATGCTGTATAAATTAGGACAAATACATAAGATTGAATAATTATTAGCCATTGTATTTTAGTTTTTAATGGGAGGAAGGAGATCACGTGACCAGTTAATGGTTAAACGAAAGAAGTCCTAATATTAAACCACCTCTCTAAACCTAATACGCGCGCGGTACTCACATCTCTAAACGTTTAGGTTTTCGCCTCCTCCGCCTCCGGGGGGGCTGGGGTGTGTGCATCACCGTGGTGCGTACGTATGCTCTACGCTGATTGGTTCCGACGCCCGGCCGTCGCGCAGGCAAATCCGGATTTGCGAACCAATCAGCGCAGAGCACACGCACGCACCACGGTGACGCACGCAACACGGTGATGCACGCACCCCACCCCCCCGGATGCGGATGAGATGAAAACCTAAACGTCTTTAGCAGGCAGCCATTTCAGGGGTTGC